GAGCCCAGCCCCGCCCCCCGGCCCCCGGCCCGCCCCCTGCAGGTTACGTCCCCTGCCGGGCACGGCGACAAGGGATCAGCACCCCAAGGGGACTAGGGGTTATCCCCCTGGGTAGCAGCGCCATCAGGGACAACACTCACCTCCCCCTCCCCCCAATGAGCGGCAGGGCCCAGCTGCACTCCCCACGGCCTTCTCGCACAGTCCAGATTTCGTTGGGAGCTTCTGTCTGCTCCCCCCCAAACACCCTGTCCTGGCTGGAGTGGAGCCCCCCCCCGTGCAGAAACGGAAACACGTTCTCTCACTATTTGCCTGCTGAGCCTGAAGGAGAAAAGCCTATCGTTTGTGTGTGTGTACGAGCAGGTGTGTGAGCAGGAAGGTGTATTCTGTGTCTGGGTGGGTGAGTGCGTGTGTTCCACGTCTGAGTGGATGTATTCCGTGTCTGGGGGGCTGTGAGTGGGTGACTCTGTGTGCATGAGCAGGTATATGTTGTGGCTCTGTGTGTGCGTGTGAGTGGGTGTATTCCGTGGCAGGGCGTGTCAATGTGAGCATGTATCTTCCATGGCTGTTTGTTTATGTGCGACTGGGTATATTCTGTGGCGAGGTGTGTGTGAGCGGGTGTATTCCGTGGCTGGGTGGGTGAAGATCTGTGAGGTAGGGCACATGTTTTCCTAGGTGTTTGCACGGCACCAAGTGCAAGAGGCCCAGTCCAGCGGGGGCGCGGGAGGGTTACCACACCACAGACAACACCACAAGCCGGAGCTCGCCGGCAGGCAGTGCGGCCCAGGTGTAACAGGACATCACCTGCCGACGGTGCCGTGTTCTGCTGCAGCCGCCAGAATTCCCTGCTCTGTCCACACACCGGCCGGAGACCTGGCAGCTTCGCCCGCTGCAGACTGGCGAAGGGAGGAACCGTTTCTGAGGTGATGGGAGGGGGCGCGGGAGGAGGCCGATCCCAGGGCAGGGGCACCACCCTGCCACCTCCTGAATCGCCTGTGCGGTGTCTGGGTCGCGGGTTCAAAGGCCCGTTGGGGAATGGGCCTGTGCCAAGGGCTAACCCTGGGGACTTTTATTGCAGCCCCTGGCGCTCGGCCGGAGGGAGGCCGCGTCTGTCTGGCTGAGAAGAGGGAACGGACAAAGCGACGGGAAAAGTCGAGAATCCAGCCCCCGCACTCACCTAGCTCGGCCTGCGCTGCTGCTTCCTCCATGTAACGCCCGACTGCTCCGGAGCCTCCCTTTATATAGGGCCCGGCTGGCAGAGCAGTCACCACTCTG